TCCTTTTTTTCCTGACATTCATTTGTGAGCCGGGACTTCCGGTCTGTTAGTGTATTGTTTTCGTGTGTGATCACAAGTTTTTACAAATTTTGTGTTCAGACAGTATTCGTAATTTTTTTATGCGCAAAGTGTAATAACCTGTGCTAAAATGTCTTCGAAGAAAAAACCACAAGTAGACAATCATAAGAGAGAAAAAATAACTGTTAAAATGAAACGTAACATCATTGAAAAGCGAGAGCAAGGTGTGAGCGTGGCTAATCTAGCACGCACATACAATCGGTCAACATCAACGATCTGCACTATTCTCAAGAACAAAAAAAAATTAAGGAGATGGATGCTTCAAATGGAAACTGAAGCATCACCCTAATAAGGAAGTGGCTATTCGTGCTACAAATGTATTCAATGAAAATGCTGTGACACATTTACGACAAATTTTGAAGCCTCGGCAAGAACAAATGTCTTTAGACAGTTTTCTAGTTAAAAAGGATTAATTATTTATCATAAATTCATATTTTTATTTACGTCTTTTGTTTCAAATCTAAATTGTATTCCAAGTTGTTACACTCCTTAACAATTCATTAGTAATTTTATTTGAATAAATGTTAATACATTTTTTGAAAAATTAGTATTTTTTAGCATGGAACGCATTATCGTATTTTACATTGATTTGTATGGGGAAAATTGTTTCACTTAACGAGAAAGAGTCTGGAAAGAATTAAATTCGTTATGAGAGGTTCCATTGTATATATATGTATACTGAAATAACAACTAAGGTTTTTTCCCACGCCAGTCATCCACTCAAATTGCAAGATAGTAAAAACAAAATTTGAAAATGAGACAGCAGGCGATCGAAGGTCTGTTGGAGCCACGCCTAATTGTTTGTTGCTATGTCATATTAGACATTGCTACGTCATATAGACATTACTATGTCATGTTAGGCATTGCTACGCCATATTAGACAATGATCTATCGATAAGATTGTTAGTTGCTACTTCACATTAAGACAATAATACATTGTATTTTGTTTAAACAAATAACAAGATGAAACACATTTTCCGCACCTCCCTTTGCTGGAACAAAAGTTGGGTAGCGCTAGGTACACGATACACCGAACCCCAACAGAAAAGGCCATCCCCAGTGACAGGAAACAGCCAAGGAAAATACACAGAACCAGAGCGAACTCCATGTTAGCCTCAAGCTGAAAACATAGTTTTGAAAATTTAAAAAAAAAAAAATTACCATTGATGCAAAGCACCTTGTTATCTTTACATTTTTTTGCAACACCGTTAATCCTTATATAATGCCTTTTTAATAGACTATGAATTTTTTATATTATAGATTACATTTTGAATTCCATCTAAAACAGTTATAAACTCCCGATATTTAAATATCATATTCTGCACTAGACAATGTCTCTCATTTTTGTCTAATGGAAATGTCAATATTCTACAAATATCGTCACATTGCTACCACATATCACAACCACATAAATATCAAAGCGCGACCAAATATCACAGCCACATAAATATTACAGCGCGACCACATATCATCACATTGCACCCACATATCCCAGCCACATAAATATCACAGTGCGACCAAATATCACTGCCACATAAATATCACAGCGCTACCATATATCACAGCCACATAAATATCACAGTGCGACCATATATCACAGCCACATAAATATCACAGTGCGACCATATATCACATCCACATAAATATCACATCGCAACAACATATCACATCCACATAAATATCACATCGCAACCACATATCACATCCACATAAATATCACATCGCAACAACATATCACATCCACATAAATATCACATCGCAACCACATATCACATCCACATAAATATCACATCGCAACAACATATCACAGCGGCATAAATATCACATCGCAACCACATATCATCACATCTCCACCACACATCATCACATCTCCACCACACATGATCACATCGCAACCACATACCTGCATGCAAAGAAAAAAGTAAATGCCCATGGACAGCAGCAGACCAAATAAAAAACCCAGGAAGTTCTTCATCAACGTGTTGGGGTAGAAGCCGTCTGTGCAGCACTTGAAGCCGAAACTGCCAGGCGAACAGCAAAATTCTCTGTCGATGGCGAGGAAAAGTATTTGGAGATGGTTGGCAAGAGAATTTTGAATTGTTGTTGAAGCAGAAACGAGATGCTCGGCAGCAGTTTATTCAGCTTAATTTTGGGGGGTTGGGGGGGGGGGGACAGAGACTTCGCACTACTTTGAGAATCTCGCAGCCTTTTAAACGTTCCTATTGTTTTAATATATTAATTTCTTTATTTTGTTCAGAAAATACTTTTCCTAGAAATGAATTCTAAAAGTGTTCCTGGCAACTGGCGATGATGCCATTTTCCCACAGTAAGCGTCATTGCCGGATACTCTAGATATTACTTGAACTTAAAATTCGGAATGGTAATCTTACTGTGCCTGCTTTCTTCTCAAATTTTCATTTGATTTGTGTTGAGCAGTAATATATATTTATATATATTTATAAATTAAACGTCCATGTGGCAAGATAACATAATCATGCACAAATATGTCTCAAGAACAAGCTTAATTTTAGTTTTGAAATTATTATTATTATTATTATTTTTGTTGTTGCCATCTTTGAGACTAAAAAAAAATATGATTGTTATAAATACAATGTGTAATAAAGTGTCGAGTGTCTTTTGTTTTCTTTTCGGGGTGTGGACAGTTAAACTCAAAGATATCTCAATACCCTTTTTTGTTTTAATCCAGTCTCGTGTATCTGCTATTCTGAATGATTCTGTCATGAGCACCTGACCCCCGGACAAGGCCGTAGATCTAGGGTTCTTAACCCTTTTGCGGCGCCGCGCCCCACCTCGCGATTTCAAAACATTTCCCGTACACCCCAACTCCGCATACAAAGTGACGTCACGTTATTATTATTATTATTTTTTAAAGAATGCAAAATTAAGCAGGTGTGAAATATACAGTTAACCTTTTAGATGTAGTGTTTTTGCTGCAAATATGTGTGGGTCTTCTTGCACCCCCTATGGCATTTCTAAGGTGTGCAAAAGGGGGTTATAACACAGGAAGCCAGTTTTGTGGTTTTATATCACACTATATAAATGATGTGTGTTTGTGGGCTCAATTTGAGGTGTTCCCCAGGGGTGGAATTTAGTAAAGGTACAGCAACTGGTAAGACTACATTTATTTTGGTTTAGACATCACGTGTTCCAATTTGGAAGTACCCCTTCTCATAGAAAAGCTGCCATTCTTGGCTGACGTGTCCATTCCAACCGGTTATTTACCCACAGCTTGGGTCAACACCGGAGGAAATTTGTAATATTTTAACACAACTTTCTTAAAGTTTTTTTCCGACCACATTGAACCAATCATGAATTCTATAAAGCTCTTTTACCCGACTGACGACACTCCAACACAACATGGACAGAATGTTCTGCACATCAACTCCCTGAAGAGGGATGACATGTGATCGCAGCACTTCTGAGACCAGCTCTGTTCGGGCGGGAGCCCCACCATCTCACGTATGGTGTTCACTTTGGCTTTTGCCATCCTCTTCAAGATCTTCCTCACCCTTAAGGCCTTCATGATAACTTTACCTTGCGCCATGTTGCACTGTTTTAAATGAGCCTATTTGCGATTTCTCCAGATTTTTACTGCGTGTGATTCCTATTATTCAAAGTGTGAGTTGGATGTTTTGTCTTTGGGCCAAATTTTAAGCGCAAAATTTGATGACGTAATTCCAAAAGAGATCTCATTTTTTAGATTTATATTCAGAATAACATTTGTGAAAGCTTGATTTTTAAACAAAACAAAAACAAGACAATAGATCAAGGTTATGAAAGTGGACTGGTTAAATGTAAACATGAATGTAAATGACCTGTTTTTAATCATTTAATTTTAAAATTTTAGAACGTTCCTAAAATTGTGCTGTGACTTAACTGTTTTATCATTGAACCTACTTGCAGCCATTTCCCCGTTAAGCGCTTCTTACACTATGTGGATAAGTGGACTTTTGGAAAGGAGAGCGTTTTCCTAACCTTGGGGGTGGGGATGGGGTTGATGGTGAAAACCTGAACGTGAATATTAAAAAAAAAATTGATCTGCTCGTTAGGCAATGAAACACAAATGTGTTATGCTCTTTAGGCAGTGTGATACTCATGTGTTATGCTCTTTAGGCAGTGTGATACTCATGTGTTATGCTCTTTAGGCAGTGTGATACTCATGTGTTATGCACTTTAGGCAGAGTGATACTCATGTGTTATACTCTTTAGGCAGTTTGATACTCATGTGTTATATGCACTTTAGGCAGTGTGATACTCATGTGTTATGCTCTTTAGGCAGTGTGATACTCATGTGTTATGCACTTTAGGCAGAGTGATACTCATGTGTTATGCTCTTTAGGCAGAGTGATAATCATGTGTTATACTCTTTAGGCAGTTTGATACTCATGTGTTATACTCTTTAGGCAGTTTGATACTCATGTGTTATGCACTTTAGGCAGTGTGATACTCATGTGTTATGTTCTTTAGGCAGTTTGATACTCATGCGTTCTGTTCGTTAGAAAATGAGAGATTCGTGTTCTGCTAAGCACTTGGCTCCCGATGACATATGCTGACTAAGCTCTTGGCAATTGAGCTGAGCTTATTAAACAATTTGACCGTAACTGTAGGCTTGTAGGTCATGGGCTCCAAGATATTCAGGTATGAAACAATTTGATCGTACTTGCAGGTCACGAGCTCCAATTTATTCAGCTTATGAAACAATTTGATCGTACTTGCAGGTCATGAGCTCCAATTTATTCAGCTTATGAAACAATTTGATCGTACTTGCAGGTCATGAGCTCCAATGTATTCAGCTTATTAAACAATGAGCCACCAACGTGATCTGCTTTCATTGCTTCACTGGCGCCTGGCTGTGTTTCCCTGTAAAAGTTGATATGGCCTACTTGTACTATGTCTCTATCAGCTACAGATAGGTTATCACGTGATAGAGAGCACCTTCTTTCTTACCAGGTGATGTGAAAACGCCCTCTTCTTTAACTTGTCTCATAGTTTGGATTAACCTGCGAGTGGGACCCACATTGTGGGACTGTGAGTAAACAAATTGTTACAAATATTTCCTTTGCCGGAAAAAAAAGTATTAATATTAGCCAACCATTTATCCATTTAGATTGTCAATAACTTGTATATAGTTCAGTTGATGAATCTCTACAACACATGATTTTTATCAGATCTGGTTTTAAATTGTGATACTTTTTTTTTTCCCCCACAATTTAATTAGGGGAAAACGACGACTCCGGCAATTGACCACCTATTTATAGCTCCGGTCAGTTGTATTTAAAAAAAAAACTTAACACTAATATCATTAAAACAAAACTTTTTAATGTTTTAAATTAGAGTGTTAGAGTCATTTGTACGATTCGTGGCCCACATATATGAAATTCTTCTTCACATGCCTCCGTGTAATTTTTACGCCGTAAATTTGTTGTAAGTCTTGAAGTCTTCAATTAAGTAGAACTTGTGCACAAAACAACACCAACAACACGGCCGTCATATTGTATCGATAAGAAGATAGTCAACTGTGCACTAAGCCGGTACACATGAGATATGGGGAAACGAACGGTAAAAAAAACCACGTGCAGTTAATAACTAGAAGATAAGAGTGTTGGTTGTTCAAAGTGTTTGATGTTTCGAGGTGTTTGACGTATCTTGTTATTTCTGACAGACCAAAGATGGTGTTGCCGTCTTTTCACGATGCGATTACGAAATGGATCCTGTTGTCGTCTGTAGTCCTGTGCCCAGTCGTCGCACGAGAGTGCGTCAAAGTCGACGCTTGCAGCTGTAAATATGATGACGACATCGGAGCAGTGGTCAATCTTCGACCGTTGGCCAGTTCAAACGGGAATCCCTTGTAGGTGGATACACGTTAACGAATTTGTAAATGGTTTTTTTTCCCTCTTAAAATCCCGTTTCATAAAGTTATGGACTTTGATATCATACACAGTGCAAGCATTCTTTTATTTAATTTGATATTTGAGTGAAATCATATTATAGAGCCTGCATGCTCTGAACTGTCATTCGCGTGAAACATAGGTATATAGATTTTTTAACTTAGTTTTCATTTTTTAAAGTTTAGCCGCCTCCTTTGCATTTAGGTTAGGCAAGTTAGGTTGTTTCTTTTTTTACACATTAGGCAGATAAAGATGATGTGCACATTTATTTACATCAAAAATTTTTTTCTGTTTCTTTTTTTTTTCTCTCCAAACTTGCTGTGTTTTATGGATGTCACAATATTTTTTTTATTTAAATCAGGTGTTGCGGTCAAAATTATTGCCGATTCATGAAAATCTCATGTGGTTTACAAATTAGCGTTATTGAATGTTTGGTAGTGCTAGGAAAGTTGGTGATGGGAAATCGCAGCCCCGAGACTCGATCTCACTCAAGGCTTCGTCTCTAGCCCCCAGAATGTTGATGACAGCCTCGTTTGGGAAATGAAGTTGATGCCACGCATTGAGTTCTTCCTCCTTGTTTCTCTATGCGCAGTTCTCACTTTGAGGGGAGTGGGGGGACACATCTTCGTATCTTGTTCCCTTAGTCGTTGTCTAAACCTGCTACAGCCCAACATCTCTCACAGTGGAGTTTTTGGAGACTTTAAAATTGACTTTAGTTTAAATATTATTAGCAACACTTTTGATTCTACCCATGCGTCTTGACACACAGGTGACATCACGGATTTTTTTTATGGTGGGTCAACAGCATTGAGAGTGAATAGAACAAATTTTGAAAAATGTAAATCAAAGAAAATTAATTTTAATCTGTGTCTCAGGAAAGATTGAACAAAAAACATGACACTGCAAATACGTTCAATGTGTTTTCTCTTACAATATTTATATTATTTAAAACTTCTATTATATAAAGCTTCTATTATTTAATACTTTTATTATTAATATATTGATTAATTAATACTTATATTATTTAATGGAAGGTGCTTATGGGTAACTTTCTTTTCACAAAATAGGACCGGCAATTTTAAAAAGTCTAGGAGCCTGTGCGCTACACGTTTAGTCCTGGTATCCATCTGTTGTTAGTATCGCTATGAAGGAAAACCAAGTAAAAGAAAATTAGTGAAAATGCGTGTAAGAAGACAGTATCGAGGTAGATTTAATGAACTCATTAACTTCAACAATAAATATCCTTACAAAATGCATCTCAAAAACGATGTCCTTTTAAACTCCGTATTTCAGATTTTTGGATCACGCCGGAAAAGATGGAGCCTTTTATTCTTACAATCCATGCCTGCCATTTAACGAGGGTCAGTGTAAAGACAGTGCGGTAAGTCGTACCTGGCGGGGGCAGACTTGTCTGGGTTTAATGTACTGAATATTTCTATGTTGGACTCATCGGGTCCCGGGTTTCTTAGATGTGAATTTAAAAAAAATTTTGATAGTGCTGTTTAGTAAACATTCTGAATGTGTAATACTGGGGGAAAAACAGATGGACTTGTAGGTTAATCTGAGATGGGTTGTTGTTTTTTTTTTGCCACTGTGTATAGTGGGAGTGAGAGACATTTGCAAGAGAAATGGGGGTAGAGACATGTGCCAGAGTAATGGTGGTAGAGACATGTGCAAGAGTAATGGTGGTAGAGATATGTGCAAGAGTAATGGTGGTAGAGACATGTGCAAGAGTAATGGTGGTAGAGACATGTGCAAGAGTAATGGTGGTAGAGACATGTGCCAGAGTAATGGTGGTAGAGACATGTGCCAGAGTAATGGTGGTAGAGACATGTGCCAGAGTAATGGTGGTAGAGACATGTGCAAGAGTAATGGTCATAGAGACATGTGCCAGAGAAGAAAGTCAAAGGGAAATTAGCAAATTTATTTTTTCTAACAACGTACCTTGGTTACCTATTTGAGAACCTCTATTTGAGTTTTTCGGAGTGGAAATTAAAGTTGAGAAATTTTATTTTTAATGATACAATAAATATCATATTCATTCAGTTTTATAACAAAAAATTCAAATGATCTTCTTTTTGTTGAAAATGTAATACTTCGGCCTTCAAAAAAAATTGTCTAAACTAATAAAATATGGTTCATCGTTTAGATTTGCAAACGTGACGGTGCTAATGGAACAACGACTTCCTTAGCTGACCAGTCCAAAGTCAGCTTCCACGCCAGTGAGGCTGGACGTAAGATTGAAGTGAGCTACCCTTCTCCGAGTGGACTGGGCATGTCAGTATGGTTTTGATCGTCATAAAAATAAAAATGTTATCAATGCATATACACATATATTTTGAGGACGTGAGTCTGTTGTTGTTGTTTTTCTATTCTTAATAAAATCGCAATTTTATGAACGTTTCAGTTATTCTTTGTTATTGAAATTTAAACTAAATAAGCCACAGGGTTTGAATTCATGCCTACCTCCAATTTTTACCTTGGTTATAGTTAGAGTAAAATTAAATGTGTTAAATAAATATATTTTTGGGGGGTGCTAATTTACCCCATTGATGTCAACATATTTTTTACAAAAGGTGAAATCGCCAACCCAGGTTCATTGAAAATAGTATTTCCAAAGCCTTGTAAATAGTTATTTTGGTTCAAATTATCGCAGCGTGCTTAGAACATTTTCCCTAAATCCATATCTTTCTTGATCTGTAATTCCGTTTCCCCCTTACATGACAGAATGAGTTTCTTCACTTACACGTGTCTTGAGCAGCAAGACCCGCCATTGTTCACTGCGTTTGGATATGACAACATCTCTCGTCAGTATGTAAGTACACTTAAGAATTCCGCTCTTTTTTACACAACATTTCCTTTAAAGTAGTTAATAACACCTTTTCATTGGTATGTGATTCAGATAACTTCACACTATCCTCTAAACTCTAAGCAGTTAAAATTCATAAGGATGAATACATTAACCCTTGTGTAACTAAGAGATATCAGGAGCCCCCCGTGCAGTTTGTAGCTAAATCTTTTTGACTTATTAAAGTGCTGTTTGAGCCTTGTCTGAAACAGATCATTTCAGAACAAATAAAATTGTACGCTTCCATCGACTTTTAAAAATAATTATTTTCTCCGTATGAAATCAATGTATAACTGCCGAATCCCCATTGGTTGAAAACATGATCTAAAAAGGTACGAGCTTTGCCATAACCTATAAACTTTATAGTATAAATAAAGCAAGGCAAGCCAGCCCACCAGGCTTCACACGCCACTTAGAGAACACGCAAATTGAATGTAATACAGCCTGTAATAATATTATAAGAACTCACTAAATGCTTTGTAGCAATCCTGCAATGTTTTTTTCTATTCTTAATTCTAAGTAACAAGACAAAATGAAACCAAACAAATGTGATATAATTTTATCTTCTCTCTCTCTGACCTATTTTAAGTCGATTTCTTTGTCAATGGAATGAAACACGATTAAGTGGAACACTGTCATCCGCCGGTCACGATATTTGACGCGGGTTGGCCACCCATGTCATATAGGACCCTAGAGTAAAGACGTATGGAATTACTAGTTCATATGTAACTAGATGGAATTACTAGTTCATAAGTAACTAGATGGAATTACTAGTTCATAAGTAACTAGATGGAATTACTAGTTAGTAGGTAACTACCAAATAAACGGAATGTTGATCTCGTGGACTTCAAAACGAAGGACTTAATTATTTACAAATAAAAACTATCTGAATCTCTTCGCCTAGATGTTTTTATAGTCGGATTAAATTTTACAACATAATACTAATTCGTGAACACTGTATCCGTTAGATTATCTCATTATCCTCTGTTGTTCATGTTGGAATTTAACCACATCCACAGCATTTTCAAGTGGATACCAAATGTGCATGTGACAACGGCTGCTATGTGGCACCCGACAGTGGAGGGCTTAGTGCCGGATCGGTCCTACTGATAGTGTGAGTGGCTAGATCAGAACAGCTGCTGCTCAGCAGAGGCGTAGCGTGGTGGGTGGCAGGGAGGGACAGATGTCCCCGGGCGCCAGCTAGTTAAGGGCGCCAAAATGTGCTTTGATATTATTTTATTGATGAAAATAATGGGTTTGAGAGTTGAAAAAAAGAAAAGGGGGCGCTAAAAATGGATCTTGTCACCGGGCGCGAATCTTGTCCCCGGGCGCCAAACACCCTCGCTACGTTACTGCTGCTCAGTCTAAGTTTAACTAATTATGTGCGGTGCCAGATCAGAATAATTGAATCATTTCAAATCCTTGGTTTCATTAGAAGTTATCGCTCTAGATGCTGTTTAAAAAGAAAAAGTCAGAGTAATCAACGTAGAGACGTGTACCAGAGTAATTAATCGTTGTAGCGACTTGGCTCAGAAAATAAATATAATATTTTGTTTATAGCAAAAGAAATTACATAAATAAGATTTTAAAAAAAGGAGATCTATGTATGTTTATTTTTGTAGTGGCTTTTTTTTACATAGCCATAAAAAGTTTAATGGTTAAACCTTTTATCTGTTGTTATTTTTTTGTTGGATCTATATTTTAAAAAAAAAAAAAAAATTCTTTGTAAATGGACAAGACAAAGACAGTCATCTTTAGTTCTTGTGTTATAACAAAAACATTTGTGTTTGTAGTCGACAGTAAAAAAAAAAATGTTAACCCGTTGAAAGAGACCAAGAAAATATTACTTTTTAAAAAAAAACATGTTGGAGGCTACGACTGACCATCATGAAATCAAAATGTCACAACTCTTCCAGGTTTTTCGTGCTCGTCTTTGTGTACCTGGTGGTCGGCTTCATCCACGGGAACGTCAGCAGAAGTATGTCAGGCCGGGAAGCCTTGCCGCACTATGATTTCTGGGTGGGATTTCCTGGCTTGGTCAAGGTGAGCCGCTCAGAAGACTTGCCCACCGTGGGCAGCAGTAGCACACCTTATTTTATAGCCCGGTCAAGGTTACTTCTTACCTTTTGACCAGGTTTTTAAGTGACGTTCTATACATTAAACTTTGCTCGCCCAATCATTTTTTCCCTAACACACTTGCACCCCGTGGATTGACACCAAATATATATATCGCATTTTAACGCGCCTTTATCAGAATGCATAACATATTCATCTGTTAAATAGTTGTTGTTTTTTGTAGCTCAAATGGAGAGAAAACTTTTGAGGCATACTTAATTTGAGGATTAACTCACATTATATTTTGATACTGCGTTAGTTATTTTTCAAAAATAAAAATACGCTCTGGTTAGATTAACATTGATTTATTATACCTAACAATATTAGAAAGTGATGAGGTAATCGTTTCCTTTTAAAAGGTATATCGTTTCCAGGAAAGGAATTGTAAGTTGTGTATATTGTGTTTCCAGGAAGGCTGTTTCTTCACCTTCAGATGTGGTTCGCGGACCAGCGTCCAGACTTACGATGAAGTGTAAATAAAAAATAATGTACATATAACAGACATGTGTTGCTAAATTATTGTTTTATTATGTTTTTGTTTTTCGTGTGTCTCTCGAGAATTCACGACTGTAATAAGTGAGTGTGTATGTTGCTATGGTTACATACTTTTTAGTTTGATTGTGAGTACGGAAGGGGTGGCGGTGTGTGTTAGAGATTAAGAGTACAAAGTAAATGAAACTATTTGTTCTATAAATAGTCCCTACTGCTATGAAGATAAGCAGAATTATAACGTAGCTTGTTTTCCCACCTCCGATAATGTGGCGGATAAGATCACTAATTGTATTTGCAATTCTTCAAGATATTCAAAAACACTTTTAAAAAAACATATATAATTTATAGCTGATACTAAAAAGAATGGCTAACTTGAAATCTACTCTGTTTCTCTCCATTGCTTCTCGATGGAAAGGATAAACAATTTAACAATCTATTGAAGATGGTTAGGAAATACATGTAAAATATTTGTTTTCAAAATAAATGTATACATATATTATTAAATAATTTAAAATATGTTTCATCATTTTAAAACCAACATATTTCTGTAAAATATTTGCGTCCTACCTTAATCTAAAGCTGATTTCATTGCAATTACAGACATTATTTATCAACACTTTATTTATTTGCTATACGAAAATTATATTAATTATATATTATTCTCCCAAATATAGCAAAGAAAATTTAAATATAGTTTCATTTAGTAAAAGACAGCTAGCAGCTCAGCAAATATATAGAAAGTGATGATATTTCCCGCAAATTATTTGCGGATGACACAGAACTGTACAAGAGCTTCCGTCCTGATCCTTTGGACTGTTCTGCTGCTGTTCAGGCTGTCGAGGACTGCTGTCTTGTGGTGAAAGCATGGATGACATCAAACAGACGTAAATTAAATGACGATAAGACTGAGGCAATTATGGGTGGCTCTGACGCCAATATTCGGAAGCTTGCCCTCGCATCAACAAAAGTAGGTGCTTCAGAGGTCCCTTTGGCCAGCATTGTCAGAGACCCCGGCTTTTATACTGACAGTAAACTTACAATGATTCCCCATATCAGCTCTGTGGCCAGGGCATGCTTTTGTCATCTACGTGCCCTGGGTCAGCTGCGTCCTCGATTTAATAAAGGAACAGCCAATGCCGTGGCAGTTACTCTAATCCAGTCAAGATTAGATTAACTGTTACAGTTGTGTATGGGGTTTACATCAGAACCAAATTCAGAGACTCCAGAAGGTACATAATATCGCAGCGCGCATTGTATCGCGGATTAAGAAATCTGACCCCATCACCCCAATTCTAAGAGATCTCCATTGGCTTCCTGTGAGTGAGCGCATTGACTACAAGATGTTGTTCCTGGCGTACAGCGGTACAGAAGGCTCTGCACCAGACTATCTTATAGAACTGATTTCTAAACATGTATCCTTAAAGAACCTGCGGTGTTTCAACACAGTCCTTACTGAAAGTTCCCAATGTGGATAGACACAGAAATAAGCCATACAGATTGCGCTCTTTTGAAGCAATAGCGCCGAAATTATGGAACAGTTTACTTCAGTCTAATAAGGGAAATTGGAAATAATAAAAAAAATTCCCTTAAGAAACATTTAAATGCTTTTTTCTTTAATCAGATTTAAGGACATCAGAGCGCGGTGAGCATGCTGAAATAGCATGGATACAAGCGCTATATAAGTATTCAATAAATTACAATAAAATACAATACAATATTGACACTCTTGTATCTTCATTATATATTTTAAAAAATAATTTTAAAAATTGTTGGTTTTTTTTTATTTCCCGTATTTCAAATTACTTTTAACACAATATGTGTGCTGTTTTCTGTCGCAAAGAATTTGCCAAACTACATGAAACTCCCGTAGAACGGAAGTGAGTGAGGAAGCATGCTTCTAATGGACGTCTATGCCACAGATCGCTGAGACAATGTAACGCTCTCAAACACCTGGCTAACCACAACCCCCCCCCTTTTTTTTTTCTACCCCGCACACCAGCAAAGAGCTGTGGGAATAATGGCCTGTCATGAAAATGGTAAAAATAGCATCAATGTTATTTTATATTTAAAATAAATGCATTCTATTAACTGTATTTATCCACACAGTTGCGAATCAGCCATAAAAAAATATATATATAAAAAAAACAGAAGCCCCCAACCTTAAATCCACCCGTCCATGTTGCTTTCAACAGCGTTGGGGGAGAGGGGGGAAAGGGGGGGCCTTGGAGCCATCTTTTTAAAGAGAATTTTTGACATAAAGCCGTTTTATTTATTTATCATTATCATTCTTGATGCTTATTTCAAATTAAAATTTTGATTTGCACTTTTTAAAATAAATACTCCAAGAAAAGTAAAGGATCATTGATATGCTGAGTTTGTTTTACGAGGCACGCAATCTCTTTTTTAAATTTTTTCTTCTGGTGTGCCTGCTTCCTTTTCACAACCGGCTCTCACCCATCAACATGTTTTATATTATTAGTGCTTAGTTGGGGTGGGGGGAGGGAAGCTGTCAAACAGTGAGCTTCATGCGTGACGGTTGAATTCAAGTACAAAGTTTAATTTATTTATTTATTTATTTTTTGCGGACGCGAAACAAAGAGCCTCGGTTATAGTCCGTAGGACTATCTGTGGGATTGCTGTAGGCCTATTGTTTAAAGACCGGCAGATAGGTCGTAGCTCGTAGGACAGTCGGTAGGCCTGTTGTTTAAAACCTGGCAGGTAGGTCGTTGGACTGTCTGTATGCCTATTGTTTAAATGCCGGCAGTAAGAGTGTAGGACTGTCTAAAGACCTATTCTTTAATGGTCTGCATATATTATAGAAAACACTTAGATCCACCGGGTATTTTCTAAAAATACCCGGACAGTTGGTAACCCCCCCCCCCCCTTTAAGCTCTAGTTATTACGTATTGCGCTTCTTACTGTTAAAAAAAAAACTACTTGTGAGTTTCATACAACTGTTTTCTTATATTAGCTGTTTTAATTGTGTGGTGTTTTTGTTAATCGTTCAACCAGCGTATTAGTAAATCATTGAATGAAATCTCTGTTTAAAATACATGTACACATTTTTTTTTATAATTGTAAGCAACTTCTTACTACGCAGCCCTGAGAAGCTGCTCCAAGGCAACCGTTTCGTCCCAGCTACGTCGCAACTTAGTTGCGTTGTGGAAGCCACTGAAGAGCCCCTCTTATAGGGCGTCAAACGCTTCCCCGGGATGGGTGGGGGAAGATATTAGGACGTAAATTTTTCCATCCCGACTCCTGAGAAAGTCGATCGTGTGCACTGTGTGCAAACACATTGTCGGACCGACCGGGTGTCTTTGGGTTAGGACGGCCCCCGGCGGAGACCTGGTCGAGCAGACGCGGATGGGAGCCGTCCGGACAAAGAGACATCCCCGACGTGCCGCTTCGCGGCCCGATACCTGGTTGGGGAGGGTTGTTTTGGGGAGGGCATAAAGAGCGCAAGCTCGACGGTCCGCTGACGCCATTTCTTAATGTAACATTTGTTTTCTTGCATTTTTATCCAACTGTTTATAACCCAGAAATATTTATATTATTAGTATTTATTATTATTATTATCATCATCGCCATTATTAACAGTAACACAAAAACTGTCACTTAATGTTAAATATTTCTTTTGTTTTTTGTGTTTCTTGGTTTAGTGCTCCAAAAAATCACGGCCTGAAACAAATTCGTAGCCCACTGTGAACACAAAATAAACAGAAGAACCTCAACATCATTAACCTATGTAAGTAGTGCAACAAATAATATTAAATAACAAGGGAAATTTTTGAAAACATTTGATAACGCATGATTGAAATTTATTCCCTGTCCCGATATGAATGTCATCTATTCATGTCCGTAAATAAATGCCGCTCTACCAACATCGTCATAGATTGCTTTGTGGTGAAATGTGACAAAGGTGATTATATAAAAAGACCAGTATTTTTATAATTCTAAAATAAATTATGGTTATGTTTTTGTGTAATACAAATTAATATAGGAAACTTATGAACTTATTCTAAAAACTGCTGTATAGTCTCTTACACAAACGTTTCAGCACTGCTGCCATGATTCTCGTGTCGATGCTGTCCCTGGCCGCGATCTCTGTGGCAGTGTTGTTGTTCTTAAAGATTATCTACCCCAGGTGGTTTCAACGTGAAGCTCCACAAACACCTTTTACAACCCCTAGAGGTAAGTATCACGTGTTTTGAGGCCCAAATTGTGAGTCACGAGTCACCTACCCTCAGTCGGTGGCACGGCTTGCGTGGACAGCTGTTGGTGGAAAAAAAAAAGGGGGGGGGGGGTAGCTAGCATCCCGGGGGGACATTTAGCATCGGAGATGGGGCGGAGATGGGGTAGTCACCTACCCTCAGTCGGTGGCACGGCTTGCGTGGACAGCTGTTGGTGGAAAAAAAAAAGGGGGGGGGGGTAGCTAGCATCACGGTGGGACATTTAGCATCGGAGATGGGGCGGAGATGGGGCGACTAACATTAAAGAACTGTTTTTACCAGTACATTACTGGTTTGGGGTCATCTGTCCTCTTTAGTCGTTAGCTGTAAACAGTGCAGGTAAAGTCTACAAAATAAAATTTGATGATTTTAACCAAAGATCGAGTGCATCTGATAATCGGGTACAACTAAATAAAACAACTAAAACATAAATAATTTATCCAAATTAGCGTCACTATAATATTATTTGTTCAAACGAACATCCCACAGACTAGAGCGTTCATTACCCGTTTAATGTAAAAAAAAAGTGGTTTTTTTTTTGTGTGTGTGTGTGTGTTTTTTTGTGTTTTTCTTTTGCCCCCATGGCGCCACAACGATTTTAAATTTTTCTGGTTTTAAATGTGGGGTTTTAAATTTAAAGAAATTATAGGCTACCTTAAACTAAGATCAAGTGGTAGCTATAGTCAGTATACCTACTGACACCAAGTGGGAGGGGGGCACCTTCTAACACCAAGTGGTGGTTACCTAATGACACCAAGTGGTGGCCACCTAGATGAATGATTCGACATCTTTTTAGGCGTGCCAGGGAAGTGATAGAATAAACACGTCAGACAAACAATCAAAGATGAGTTACTATGGCATGATGGGAACTTTCATGGAAGGGTTGAAACTGGACATGACGTGTCGGGGGTGTGGCTCTGAGGTTGGGATCATAGTTTGGATGATAAGAAAACATGATTTGGATGATAAGAAAACATACTTTGGATGATAAGAAAACATGGTTTGGATGATAAGAAAATATAGTTTGGATGATAAGAAAACATAGTTTGGATGATAAGAAAACATAGTTGGATGATAAGAAAACATAGTTTGGATGATAAGAAAACATAGTTGGATGATAAGAAAACATATAGTTTGGATGATAAGAAAACATAGTTTGGGTGATAAGAAAACATAGTTTGGATGATAAGAAAACACAGTTTGGAGTGAATGGAACAAAGTTTTAGTTATGAGAGCATGAATATGAGCGTGTGAGATACTTAAGGATTTTTGCTTTTGTAGAAAGTGGAACGGAGCAAAATTTGGTCAGAAATTTGCCGTTGTACATTTCTTTCATCTTTTCCCCTCCCAATATCCATTTTCAATTTCACACATTTTTGTAAGTCAATATTTTTTTCATTCGGTTTTTCAATCCATATCCACTAGACTCACTAACTGCATCCACTGTGTCATCATATCAACAATAGATGTACCTAATAGAAGCAAAGGGGGCAACCAAGACTGTGGTGACCTGGTCGTCTCACCAAGACTGAGATGTCTGACCTGGTCGTCTCATCAAGACTGGGATATCTGACCTGGTCGTGTCACCAAGACTGGGATGTCTGACCTGGTTGTCTCACCGAAACTGGGATGCCTGACCTGGTCGCCTCACCAAGACTGGGATGTCTGACCTGGTTGTCTCACCAAAACTGGGATGTCTGACATGGTCGCCTCACCAAGACTGGGATGTCTGACCTGGTTGTCTCACCAAAACTGGGATGTCTGACCTGGTCGTCTCACCAAAACTGGGATGTCTGACCTGGTCGTCTCACACCACACAAGCGATTTTAGATGTCATCATATATCAAGAGCAAAGCATCTAAATAAATGTATTACTCCTCTACGTACATGGAATGTTCTCAGAAAATATTTCATACACACACACTCACACACACTAACAAATACCCCTCCACACACACACTCACACATATACACTTACACACACATACACACACAACCGTGAAAACTCCAGATCTACACATGAATGTGTCACAAGCGAATGGTATGTCCCCCAAAAAATTAAAATGATGTTGCCGGATGTGACGTATTTTCATGTCCTGATTGAACTTCTTTCTTGTGAATATTGTATGCCACTCCCACTCTTTATCTCTTGGGCGAAATGGCGTTGAAAGAAATCTCTAATGTTACAATGTTTATGGCAGTTTTATATATATTGTTTTTTTAAATTTTGTCTACAAATGTTACACATTATGACAGACCATCTTATTTTGAGGATCCTTCGCAAGCGTCTGTTTATAAAAACCTGCAGTTTTTAAATGTTTGTTTTTGTTGTTCTCCAAGTTTCCCAGTCATACAGAAGAAGTGCCTTGATATTTGAGATGAATATTTTAAACTTTGTTTTTGTCAGTATTTCAATACAAAATTTGCTATACTGTCCTTTTGAAGAGAACATCAAGTGTTTCGGTGGAAACGGAGGAGATAAAAATGGAGATGGATAAGGCACACATTAAGGAAACAAAACACTAACATCATAAAACAGGCCCTGCACTGGAATCCTCAAGGTACCAGTGCCAGGAAAAGAGGAAGACCAAGAGCCACATGGAAGAGGGGAGTAGAGGCAGAGATGAAGAGAATGAAGAAAAGCTGGGCTGAACTAGCAAAGATAGCCCAGGACACGGGGCAGATGGAAAAGTATTGTGGATGGCATATGCTCCATTGGGCTGAACTAGCAAAGATAGCCCAAGACACGGGGCAGATGGAAAAGTATTGTGGATGGCATATGCTCCATTGGGCTGAACTAGCAAAGATAGCCCAAGACACGGGGCAGATGGAAAAGTATTGTGGATGGCCTATGCTCCAGTGGGCTGAACTAGCAAAGATAGCCCAAGACACGGGGCAGATGGAAAAGTATTGTGGATGGCCTATGCTCCATTGGGAGTGAGAACGGCTAAGAAGAAGATATATATTTTTAGAAGTACTGCAGCAAAATGTGTCATCCTTAAAAACACCGATTGCTGGATAAGCAAGTTATGAGACCTCAGCAAGTTCATATTTAATCTGTTACAAGTTACTTCTTCTTACGCTCTCTTGTAAGGACTTATATCTATACTACAAATAACCCGGACTAACAAACGTATTTCTTCACTAAAGACAGCCCGCCAAACAATGACGGCAGCAATGCGAGAACGTCCCATCTACTCAAGTTACTTGACTAAACATGCATTCAAGTAACGCACTTTATAAGAATCCCAATTAGTGATAACTGCTGGGAATTAGATTTTTGAGCGCCTATTAAACGCAGTGTTACAGCCGTACCCAGGGAATTATTGTTAGTGATTAGCTTTGAAGTCAGACTTATTTCGCACAAGCTGTTTACATGCCATGTAAGATGCCGTTCAAAACTCAGAATGTGTTGTTGCTTAAATAATGTTTAAACACTTTGGAAATATCACGATGGTTTAAAAGATGTGTACTTATGAAGATTTATTGTGATCGACATGCATCAATGGTTACAGCCATTCATCGTCATAAAGATTTATTGCATTTTTAATAATAACATCCATACCATAAGTTACACATTTACACCATACATGACCAGAGCAGGGAGGATCAATTATATAAATACATATAAACACCCAACTCCTCTGTGGTAAGCTGATGATTTTAGTAAAGAATTTATATAAGAATATATCTTATTTTATCAATAAGTAGACAAGCAAGCGATGAACTGATCAAGTTCTGAAACCGAATGAAAGAGGGAATAGGTCAGAAACCAGATTTCTGAGTGATCTGACATCCTTTACTCTTTTTTGCAGGTTTTAAACAGTTATTTTTTCTCTTCTGAAATTTTGTTTTGAGTCAATGTGAGCCAAATTAACATTTTAAAGATCAATATATATATATACTAATAACCTCGTAATCAACATGTTAGAATGAAATTACAACGTCATCAAACTTTGGTAACATTCTATTTATAGGTTGTCTGGGTCTTTCCCCACCGTGATACAGCTCATCTCCATTGCATAGCTTCCCTTACTTTTGTGATTACATGTTTGTTTACATCTAAATTCTAAAGTCTCACATGGCCTCGTATGGTTGATCTTTATGATGGCGACGACATACAAAATCCCACGATAGTCTAAAGCCATCCTGGAATACAAAAGCAATCGCTTGGTAAGGAATCTTCATAGAAACAACTCTGAGAGATGTCTTAGCTGCTTAACAAGCATAACAATTTCAGCCCCATGAATTTTTCTGAGCTCTCATAACACATGCCAATATGAGACGAGGTATTGTCTAAGCTTCTATAAAACATATCAATATGAGCCTATGTCATGTCTAAGATTTTATAAAACATCAATATGAGCCCAGGTATTGCCTAAGCATCAATAAAACATATCAATATGAGCCCATGGATTGCCGAAAGCTTCTATAAAACATACCTATATAAGTATAAGCCCATGTATTGTCGAAAGCTTCTATAAAACATACCAATATGAGCCCAGGCAATGCTGACCAGAAGTTCACATTGGGAATCATTTCTCTGCCCACCGTCCTACTCTTGTTGTAGTTAAATGCTACACCTCCACACAGATACACGATGAGTAGCACGAAGAAACTGAAAGGTACAAAATGGCATCAAGGATTGGCCAGGGCATTTCTTGGCAAATTAAACCGATTTCAAAAAATAATTTAACTTGGCGCTTGATTTAAAAAGGTAATTAAGGTATTCTTTACCATTTTTCTCCGTGAAACTGTGCCTCGATTATATTTAATTTTAAATTGTAATGATTTTCAAACACGTTTTCTGTTTACTTATATTTTCTCTTTTGCAAGAAGTTCAGGGTCAGTGATGTAGTCGTAAAACAATTAGAATTTTACAGGTTTATTTTTTTTTAGAAATGGGTGGGGAGTGGAGAGGGGTGAGGGTGGGGGCGAGACCCCGGGTTGCAATTCAAATTTTTTTTTTTAAATACTCATAATTATGCAATTAATCTTAATTGTTTTTTTTTAAATTAAAGAATGATTATTTCTTTTATTTTATACACACACTTATAAAAAAATAATAAATGTTAATAGAAAGAAGAAAAAAAGGTACTAAGGAAGCGTCCTGGCAATGCTGTAAACCTCGGCACAGGTCACAATGCGCGTCTTCTTAATAGACCATCAAGAAATAGAAGAGCAATCTCGCGTTAACATGCTGAGCTGTCAAGAAAATCAAAGATAATATCTACTTCTACACCAGTTTTATGAAATAAGTTATATATATATATATATATATATATATTATATATATTATATATATATATATATATATATATATATATAAACAATGCCCAGTAGATGGCGCTCACATTATTAACATTACTGATCCCGGGGAAAGTCCGTCGTCTGCAGATATGGGGTCCACACGCTTGCACGAGTTAGGACATGCGCAGACAGACCACATATTTATTGCCTGCAGGATGGGAAACAAGCATAGCCGATATCAGAAAGGATTCCTTAACCCATTTCGAACAATGTAAATCTTTTTCCGGGATATTTCGTGTTCATAACAAAGAAACCAAGGAAAACAAAAAACGCAAAATGTTTTAAATTGTCTAAGTGTTGATTGTGGCAGATGTCTGTAGAACTAGGAATTGTGTGCAATAGGGCTACACCATACAAAACAGACACAAATATGTTGTAGCATACGTTATGATTAAAAGTAACATTACGTAAAGATGATCTTATCTTAATTACATAATTCAGGGGAAAAATCATGGTGTATGCAAACTGAATTCTGCCATTTTAATGATCAATTCTCTATTAGTTTTCAGAAAGATTTAATGTATATTTTTTAATGAATTCTGGAGGTCGACTTTCAAAAATATGTCTTTATGTTAAAAAATTGCTCTGCAGGTGACATTGAAAGCCCAATTGATTTCATAGATATATTTTTTTTTAAAATAAATAATAATACATTTTTAAAAATCTCCTCCGTCGAAAACTGCAAGTTCTGAAACGATCAAAATGAGAAGACAATGTTTGAGATTTTAGGACTCCAGGATGAGGGCGGATCTAATAACTCTATTTTCGAAATAAGACTGGATTAAAGCCATGCACACTATCAAACAAAATATCACGAGCACGACCAGCTAAACCAAAAACTGAGCTTGAAAACGAGGTCTATCCAAGGAACGAGCAAAGTTAAGTATCGTCCTAGACTATGTACCACAGTCCCAGGAATGGTCTCTCCAACAACATCAAGTTGGGGGGAGGTGTAGGTGGGGCCGCAGAACATCGTCACTTCCGCTTTCCTATGGGACGAGAAAATAACGTCATGTATCATGATGTATGTCAAGTTTTAAATCTAGCTACTGCGACTGTATGTTTGAATTTCATTAAGTGTCTTAAATTCTCTGTAAATTCATGTAAATTCATAAGAATTATTAATAAGGTGAACCATTCTTCAATTAAATTCTTTATAAATAACTTCGCTTTTCTTCGTGGGTGGCACGCTGGATGGCTGGGTGGCGGGCTGGCAAAATCTTGAGACGACGAATTGACTCCCGTCAACGTTACGAGCTGATACTTGGCACAGAGACTCGTTGCCGATGACAACACATTCTATCAAATTTTCAGGTCCACCATTTAACTCCCATCCCCCCAAAAATCAATTTTGCCAGTTTTTCAAGGGGAAGATCAATAAAATTCCGGATAACTGCGTTAAATGAGATTCTTTTTTAAAGAAAAGTATCGCAAGTGGGTTTGGGGCGTAATGTTTCCCTTTGTTTATCTGAAATAGATGGGAAAATAAATCTGCTGTGTAAAAGCGGTGGGTCTTTAGAATATTAATATAGTTCAGGGACGTGAAAAAAAAAGTGCGGTTGCCAGTTTTGGAAGGGGGGGGGGAGGCGCTAATTAGGATTCTTCAAGCGTTACTTGTATGGATATTTTGTCAAATTTTCAGCCCCCCCCCCAACCCCATTGCGCAATATTACATTTTATAAAGGATTTATATGAAAAACTTTTTTCATGTTAAATTCATGAATAAAATCAATATAAATATATTGCAATGTTCTTCATGTAGTGCTTATAGAAGTATTCGAACTCTGCTTTCACGCGATGGTTCGTCCTCACGCAGAATTACAGCACCAAACATATGTGGATAGGGCAGCGGGACGGAGTCGAGCGTACGATCATAACTTTCGTGAAATTACGACAGGAGAATTAGAGCATATCCATTGTACAGTACCTCGACATGTGTACTACATGTGCGTCACTTGGACTTTCAAATCTTTTCTTAACAAAAAAAAAAGTTGTTAAATAACTGGAAGGAAAAGAAAAGGTTCAAGATGACAAGACTGCTTTCACATTAGATCGAACATCAGATGATACCTTGAGTCCGACGTTGAGAAAGTTACTCTGGGGTAATAGCCCGTGTACGACCAGACGGCAGTGGATTGTTTGCCCATGGCGATGTAGTCAGTGCCAGACTTTTTACACACCTGAAAACATGGGAGGTCAATTTCAATAAATAAGCAGATACACTACACCAAGGGGTGTTCAAACTACGACCCACGGGGCGAGTTCTGGGCCGGCAGGGGTCTTTAATCCCGCCCGCCTGACCGCCAAACAGGTCCCCGGGTAGTAGTGACAAATAAGAAAAAAACGGACAAGTACCATCCCATTGGCCAAAAGAATGGGTTTTGAAATAAGAATATATTTAAGGTTGATTTAAATTGTTCTCCATTTTAAATAAAGTATGATTTCTCACTGGTTTTTGTGTCAGTACAAATAACTTATAAGCTACGTTCAGCATGCATTCGTTCATAGCATTTAAAACGAAAGTCTAGCCGAAACAGTGTCTTGGCTACAGGGAGCCAGTGTCTCTTTCAGGCATCTTTCGAAGGGTGGGCACTGTCCCCCCACAGAGAGACCCCCCCCCACAACCACGGAGAAAAATGTATACAACAATGAGGTAAATATATATTTGTAAAAAAAAAATGCTTAATTGTCATTTTTATAACTCTTGTCATAAAACTGGTAGTGGCATAATGGAGCCAATGAAATATCGCTACTCTATATATAGTTAATTATCATACATATTTAAGGTACATCTAGATGCATGTCCAGTAATTCGATTCTAAATATCGTATTATTGTTCGGAAGATAGACCGCCCCCTATTTGAAGCAGCGCCACTATTTTCGTTGTTGACTTACATCAGTTGGTTAATATTTCTAATTGTTTGCTCCCAGGGTTTATTTCAAGCATCTCGGCGGCCCGCCCCACCAACATCAATTTAGTTTATGTTGGGTGGAGAAGGGGGGTAGAGTCATAAGGGATCCTTTCGCCCCCAGTGACATGGCAAAGTAAAGTGCCACCCCTGACGTGCCAAGATTTTTGCAGCCCCTTCCACGATAAAAATTCTGCATTGGGCCGAAAATGTCACCCCTTTATAAAACAAAAAAGCCCCCCCCCACCCCACGGAGCGGACACCACTTACGCGCACATTTCCTACGCCCCTGGCCCTACCCATCCGAACATCTGAAATCTGAAATCCCCCCATCCCGGAGAAAACTGTCTGAAAGAAACACTGCAGTTAAGTGCCCTGTGTTTAAAATAATTTAAGAACCCTTGCTCTGACCTAACGCGCTGACTCAAATAATACCAGTTACCCGAAACTGTTAAGGAGGAATTTGTTCGAATGAATGTTGTTTAACGGAAAACTGTCCGAAAGAAGGTTTATTCGAAGGGAAATTAAGGCCAAAAAAAATATATATATATATATATATAACTTAAAAGGTGACCTTTTCCCTATTTCTCACGTGTATCTTTACCTTTAAAGAAACCCAAACATTTTAGAAATAAATTAATAAATCTTTGTTTAATAAATTAAATTTCCAACAGACATTCGGTGGAACAAAATTTACGTTAAAATAAAAAAAAAAAACTTTCGCAAAACAATTTTCCGACTACATATTCCTTGGCGGGGAAAGGTAGGACCTTAAAATTAGCCTACGCCTGACACATGCTCTTGGTCAGTTAACAAGTAGTCGTTGTTTTTGGTCTGGTTAATTCACATGTCTCACAATTGTGAGTTTATATCCCCCCCCCCCTCCTGGGGGAATTTAAAAAAAAAAATCATATCTTCTCATTAAAAAGGATGATTTAGCTTGCCTGCCATAAAAAAGAGAACAACACCCCCCCCCCCCTCTTCTTTTTTACCCCGCACTTGATCTTCAATCTTCCTTAACTAATTAAAACTTTACTAACTGCTGCGTCCTGACAACTGCCAATGGAAAATGAAAAACACGGATTGTAGGAATAAGCGCTGCCATCATAGGCGTATTCGTCAGGAAATCTGAAAAAAAAACATGAACATGAGTATCAACACAGTTACTTTAAGATAGTATCAACATCAAAGTTATCGTAGTATCTACTTACAGCAGCGGTTCTCAACCTGTGGGTCGCGACCTATTTGGGGGTCGCACAACCCTTTCACAGGGGTCGCCTAAGACCATCGGAAAACACATATACTCAACAGTTATAAAGTATCAACGAAAATAAAATTGGGGTTGGGGGCAATGTTCCCTTTAAGCTGTGCGGCTGCAAAACCAGAGGCGTCTACACAGGCGGTGGGTGGAAGGAAAGTTGTTTTCATTCCGACTTGGTGGGGGTGGGGGGGGGGTGTGAGAGATAAAATTCCAGATGTTGGAGAAAAAAAAAGTTACAATCCTAGACAATTTGATTTTGTTAGCATTGTAAATAAATCTTTTGGGATTTCTTTATGGAGACAAAGATTGTCTCCTAGTTAGCATGTCGTTTTTTGCTTTGTCTGGGTTGTCGCCCTACGCCATAACGATGTATCTGTTCACTCATAAACTATTTCTTTTTAAATTTCAGAGTACTGTTATAACTGTTGGAAACGTGTCCTGAAGGATTCCAACTCCTGGCCTACTAACCGCAAAAAAATACTCTACACCTGAAAGCTTCTCCAGGTGTCTTCGTGTCTCGTCCCCAGCTTCATGTTGAAACTGTCCTTGGGTTCGCCCTGTTCGCCACCCCCTAGCGCATGTCCTAGTTAGAAGAGGTGGGAAATGAGTGATAGGTTTGGAATGTGGTTGGGGCTGATGTCGAAAGGGTGGATTAGGGAGTGGGTAGGTTTAAGTAGATCTATGGTGGATTGTTGAGGATTGTAGCGCCATGCGAAGCTGTTGGATGAGAGGGCAGCGGTATAGGTGAGCCAAATGTGTAAAAGGCGGAAAAGGGAAGAAACGAATTGGCTGCAGAGAGGTGGGTGAGGTGTGAAGTGCGTACCAAGGTTATTCATCAAGGGCAGGGTCAGGGCCATGCGAAAGAAAAGCTGCACCAGGGAAAAGCCTCAAATGCACCTCTTCCTTTTGTTTCATCCATAAGTGACATTCGATACACCCACATGGATATTTATATAAATATCATATTTAAATGCGATTTTTGGCCCCCAGAGACTCTGTCGCCTTTTCTTCCTCCCTTCTTTTTTTAGCAGTGGTTTCAAACCGTTTTTAGCTTGCGAGATATTAAAATGACGAAATAAAACCCCTCTAAATATAATGAGAGGAATTGAAAAGAAAAAAATCAAATTGTGCCGGTATGATGAGTCGCGTCCGAATAAAACCATTTTATATAAATATAGAAAAGTTTTGCTTAAATTGATTTTATGACCGGGGGCATCGTAACCTAGAGTAACCCCATACTTTAGTCAGTGCGGGCCTTGGTTCAAATAATCTATCACTATATTGAGACAACTTACAGTGGGATTCCGTCCTGTCTTCCAAGACTGCTTATATCCACGGTGCCTGACCCATCGCTGTACGTGCATCTGCAGGGTCCATCGCCGTCACAGGTCAATGCCGAGACTGAGCTGCCACCATGCTGCAGTAGTAAGAAGCACGCCAACATAACAGCCACCACGATGTTGTAAATGGTTCGAGTGACCATGTCCCCGGTCATTGTCTTACCACGGATAGAATTGAGAAATCAGTCTTCTGTCCTTGATCTGTATGTTGTCCTTCTCATTGTCATATTGTATCCATCAAATTCATACGGTAAGTGTCTATATTTATGTGTCGAAATAAACCAAATCTATAAAAAAAAATATTTTAAAAAAGATACACACAAAATTCAATCCCATATGAAAGATAAGTCCAATTTCAACAAAAGTGGAATAATAGAATAGATGTTTCTCTGTGTCAGGCCTATATTATATTGTCTATTGTTAAGCTTGACCCAACCTTCACTAAGATGTGTACTTTTGAAAGATAAAAAATATGTCAACAGATCGGTCTATTATTGTCAACATATGATGTCGTAACGTCTAAAAATGAAAAATGAATGCAAAAGTTGACGTGAATGTGCTCACTGTTTTTAAGACTAAATGACATTCTTTGCTTTCGTGCTACAGATACGTTGCTTCAATGGTTCTCATATTGTGTTTACCCTAAAGCTTCTCTTGAGCTATATCTCTACCGAGGCTTATAACACCAAAACTTATTTTTACTGAAATCTACATACCAAAATTTAAATCAGCATAGAATAAAAGCTTATAATGATGTCTAAAACCACATTAAACACATGGACCACCTTTTCACCAAAAAAAAATTTGGACGTGAAATAGATCCTTACGAAAATGGGCGCTCCATTCATATAACATGTTATTATATATATATTTTTACACATAATCTTAAGGGTACCCATGCCTATGGGAAAGAGATGTACGCGTGAAAAGTGTTTCAACTGTCGGGTACTGTACACACTTGTGATAAAACTTGCGTCTCCTTATTGCTAGTGGGTTTGAAAGAGTGAATTTAAATATCAGCACGTCTGAACTACCCATTGCACATTTTGAGGACCGCTGTCCTAGCGGACATATCATATCTCCATGGTTCATCGTGGATAACATTAAAACAAGGCCTTAATATCACTAGTTGAAAGTTCTGTTGCAGATAGACTTAGATCAGTTTCGTGTAACTCGTCAGTGCAACGAAAAAAACAACAACAAACTGATAAACGTGGATCAGTGTAGCCTGAACATTCCTGTATCATATGTAATAATCAATTAAAAGTTAAATTCTGCTTGCATAATCACGTGATTGGAGTATGTTCTATAATTAGAAAGGATCACGTTAATTTATTAGTCATACAAATTATGTTTGTTAGAGAATTATTTTTGTTTTTAAATGAAGTCGAACTTAAAAATAAAAAAATAAAAAAAAAAAAAACAAGGATCCTTTAAGGAATTATTTATTTTAAAGTATCAAAATATGCATTTGTGCAGTTTATAATATCACAAAGCTAAAGTTATTTTAAAAAAAAATATAAATCATGCATGAAACACCCTGACAACTCCCGCGATGTCGATGGTGCCAAGCTGTATCATCCAAACGATATTCCCTTGGGCATGGGCGCCCGCAGGTAGGCCCCCCCCCCCGGATTGATTGGATAAAATTTTTTTAGACGAAAATAGACCAAAAAATGTATTAAAGTAAAGAGAAAATAAAGAGAAAGTAAACAAGCTGATGTCCTGTCCGTTCGTTCACCATACAAATACGCTACGGTAAATTAAAACTACATTAAAACATTACTAAAAATTTTTTGCCCCCCCCCCCTGGAAAGTTAATCGATTTTTTTTGCCCCCCCCCCCACCTAGAAAGTTTTCTGCGGGCGCCCATGCCCTTGGGTTATCCAGCGGCGTGGACAGAGGCGATTTGCTGTTGGGAACCAGCTTATAATCCTTGAAGAATATTCCCAGGCCTTGTGGATTTCGTCATCCGAAGCCCACCACACCATCGTCACACCGTGACGGACGAGGCCCACCACACCATCATCACACCGTGACGGATGGATGCCAGCAAGTCATGCATCCGATTTGTCATTTGAGAAATGACTTTTATATTAATAAAATTCTCCATTGAGAACGCCTGTGTTACGTGACAAACAGCATGTCACATAAGGGAGTAAACTTGTTTGTCTTTTTTTTTTTTTTTAATGGGTTCTCTCCAGTGTTTGCTACATTTGAATACAATTTAGCACGTAAAATTAATATATTTATTTCTGCATTGTCAGTTATTTATATGTATTAAAAATTGTGTTCATCTAGCTTATTAATGTACCTCCTAATTTCTTAGCATTAATATTTTAGGATAATACAGTGGTAGCTCGAGATACGAATTTAATTCGTTCCGTAACCTTGCTCGTAAGCCAATTTGCTCGTATCTCAAAGCAATTTTCCCCATTGAAATTAATAGAAATGCCATTAATCCGTTCCAGCCCCCAAGATGCCACCTCAGTTTTTTTTGTTACGTGTTTTTGAATAAGAAAAATGTATTTATAGATGACAAATATTGTATAAAAACAAAATAAAAGAGAATGTAAAGAAATAAACTGGTTTTATTTTTATAAAGTGTATTTACCTTGGAAATCAGCCGACTTGAGCTTACGGAAGATGCAGGCGGAGGTTTAGGTTGGAGGGGATAGGCGATGGAGCTTCACTTCGTTCATTTACTGGCTGCACTGTTAATGCTGAACTCTTTCGGTAACTTTAATTCACTTACGCGTTACACTCGTAATGCCGGCCCGCTGATCCGGTTCCTCGTATCTCAAATATTTTTCGTATCTCAAAGCAAAACATCGCTCGTTTGACGGCTCGTATCTAAAAAATCTCGTATGTCAGAGCACTCGTATGTCGAGGTACCACTGTACTTCTTTTCTTGCTATAACACACCCGGCTTTAAAATCTCCGCCACTACGGTGTTACCGTAATCATAATATCCTGAATCTTTGTATATATGTTATTATTTATTTTTTTTTCGATTGATTACTCTAAGCTGCACAGTGGCTTCGGAACTAAAAGAGCATAGAGTGTATAAAGAAAACTTCGCGTGTTCAATTTATTCAGGTTGTCTATCGTGTAATGAAACTATCGACACTATCATCTAATACAGCGGTTCTCAACCTGTGGGTCGCGAACCCTTTGGGGGTCGCGGGACCCTTTTCCAGGGGTCGCCTAAGACCATCTGAAAACATATATCTTTACAACTATGAAGTAGCAACGAAAATAATTGTGTGGCTGGGGGTCGCCACGACACGATAAACAGTATTAAGGGGTCGCGGCACTAGAAAGGTTGAGAACCACTGCTCTAATACCTAATGATTAAATAATGCTCAGCAAAATAAATAAACAAAAGCCAAATTTAATATAATCGGGTGGCAGGCAGCGTAAAATTGAATTAGCGAATACTTAAGAAGATACGGGTTACCTCATATCCGTATCCCATAATCTTACATAAAATATACCGTACTACCTTTTGAAATCGATTACTTATTAATTTATATCTAAGTCTAGCGCACGATAGCGTGTCGCGGACACGCCCATAGACCACCCTTAACATTCGGTTGATGGTCGAACTTGGTGGCAATGGAATGGCGATCTTGTCTCGAGCATCAGAAACCTCAACTTTCAGATGATGAGTGTTTGTCATGTTTGGATAGAGTAAGAGAAGTGGGTTTGTGATGTTTTGGGGGGTAGGGGGGAAATTGGGTTTAAAAATGACCCTCTGTCTAATATAGAGCTTGTATTGCCCATGGAATGCTCTGTCTATTCAGCAATTTAGATGGACATTCCATCGATCGCTGCGATACGGAATCTAAATTAATCTAACGCAAGCTCTCAATAGACACGTGCTAATGTCAATACGTACATGCTGATCTCAATATGTACGTGCTGATTTCAATATATACATGAAGAAATGCTCTGAAAGAATATATCGATCTTCACATCTGCGGAAGTCACTCAAATGGGATAAATCACACACGTATTCGGGAGTAAAGCTGGACCAAAAACTCCAGCTGCATAACCACGTACGGGAACTCGGCGCTCGAGCCACGTCCAAACTCAGCCAGGCTAAAAAAAAAATCTGCAAGCACAACTTGGGGAGCTGAGGCGAGACTCCTAAGAACACTCTATCTCAGGAGCGTGCCCTTTTACGTTGCAGCCTCCCCGTGCAGGCCTTTGCGACAGGATACAAAATCTAGCTCTCAGATTTGTATGCGGGGCGTTGCTTGCTTCATCCCTGGCTGCTGTGGTAATTATCTCAGACATAGAACCACTACACATCAGGAGGGACAAAGCCGTCCTAAAGACCGTAGAGCCTACCGTGGAATGGAGAGGACGTAACCCTTCTTCCAATTACAAGACCGCTGGGTAAAGCGGACAAGGCTAAAAGACCCCCATTTCTGATTGCGGTCCAGTCACTTGAGAAAAAGCACCCTTTACCAGGAAACAGGTAGAAAATATGCCTGATCCCGGAGCGACCACCTTAGGATGGTTGCGAACCGACAGATGTACGTTTGACCCTGTCAAACACGGCAACTAACAAGTCGAGCCCCAAAATGAGCAAAAGGGGGCCGCACTAGAGATGATCGAGTCATATAAAAACGATGTGACTAAAGTCTTAACGGACGGCTCCTATCTCGCCAACGAGAAGGGGGCAGGCTACGGTGCACTCATCCAGTACCCAAAGGGGGTACCTCCAACTGAGGAGATTTCAGGGGCCCAAGTGACACGAATGGCACTGCGATTGAAGTAGAAATCGAAGCTATATTAATGGGCCTGAATCAAGTGTGGCGTAGATTAGCCAGACGTAAAACAATTTCATTCATTGCAGCGTTCACTGATTCACAATGTGCTCTCGAAATTCTGAAGAGGTGCTGTTTGGACACGAAAATGGCAAATGCAATTTTAGAGCTCGTGCGAGACATACAGTCTCACGGAGGCAAAGTGACCCTTCACAAGGACATGCGGGGAACCCCCCCCCCTCACAGGATAGAGCTGAATATCTTGCGAGACAAGGCTCTTCCTCCAACTCGGGGCCAAGGCCTGGATTAAGGACCTCATTCATCCATGGGGAATGGCTTAAAGAATGGGAAAAAGTATCTACAGCCCAAAAACTTGACCGGAACATCCCCAAAACTAACTGCAAGGGCGATCAGTGGTGGTATCTTAAATGTCACCAGCAGAGCTTAATCACGCAGATGAGGAGAGAATATTGCTCTACCCGTAGCTACCTGAATTGATTGCATCCACTGCGAGACCCGAGCTGCCGTCACAGGCGCCGGAGACAGCAGAGCACCTTCTAGCCGAGTGCTCCCAGCCAACCATGTCGAGAGCCTGATTTACGGCACTGCCCACCAGATAAAACGGGCCTATAACCTTACTTGCGGGGGCCATTAAAGAGCAATAGCTCTGTCCCAAAAAGTGAATGTAATATTTCAGTAGCTAGCCATAAGTCCTCCATTCACACCACAAAAAGTAATTTAAAAATACTAATAAAATTGTGACGTAAATCTTTATTCATATATAACTGAAAAAGACATGCTTTACACCAGAGGTCGGGAACCTATGGCTCGCGAGCAAGATGTGGCTCTATTGATGGCTGCATCTGGCTCGCAGACAAATGTTCGATTATTTTAAAAAAATGTTTCTTAATACGCCTTTGATCTACATATTAATTGCATATCAATATTTGATTAGCAACAGCATAACAATGTTATTAAAAAGAATTCAGAGACATAATAATTGCATTTTTAGTGTTGAAATAACACAAAATGCACACATTTACTGGAATTTTTAGTTTTAAACATAATGCATGGCTCTCACAGAATTACTTTTCAAAATATGTGGTGTCCATGGCTCTCTCAGACAAAAAGGTTGCCGACCCCTGCTTTACATGATAAAAAAAAACAAAACATGTACTGTAACACTATTTATTGGAAACAACTCTTATGATCTTCTCATCAAAGAATCAGTTTTTACTTTCATACCGTCAATTCATTAAAATTACACCATATTAACAACATCAGAGAAATATTTATCATACAAGTGGTGTTCTTATAAAATACCAAATATCATTTACTGAATAAAGCCAGGGGTTCTAATAGTGACCGTCATGTGCAGTGGATGGCGTGAGCTGAGGCCCACGAAGAAGAAGAAGAAGAAGTCAATGACGTCATTTTAAATTGCGTCGTACTGCGCCTTGCTGCGCCCACACGAACAGGTGAACACCAACCTGAAGCCATCCTGAAAGCAGACGACAGAATCTATTTAATACGTTGTGAGCATGACACGACGGATACTAGCTCAAAACAGGCCGGGATGGACCACTGCTCAAAACAGGCGGGATGGACCACTGCTCTATACAGGTCGGGATGGACCACTGCTCTATACAGGTCGGGATGGACCACTGCTCTATACAGGTCGGGATGGACCACTGCTCTATACAGGTCGGGATGGACCACTGCTCTATACAGGTCGGGATGGACCACTGCTCTATACAGGTCGGGATGGACCACTGCTCTATACAGGTCGGGATGGACCACTGCTCTATACAGGTCGGGACTAAGTGCAAGAGCCAAATGAATGAGCATTGGTTCTAATTTATTCTAAAGGATTGTCTGACTAATGGATTGTCTGAATAATGCATTGTCTAACTAATGGATTGTTTGACTAATGGCTTGTCTGACTAATGGCCTGTCTGACTAATGGATTTTCTGACTAATGGATTGTCTGACAAAAGGATTTTCTGACTAACGGATTGTCTGACAAAAGGATTGTCTGACTAACTGATTGTCTAAAATAGATTTTCTGACTAAAGGATTGTCTGATTAATTGTTTGTCTCAAATGGATTGTCTGACTAATAGATTGTCGGACGGATTGATCGTCTAAAAGGGATTTTCTGACAAAAGGATTGTCTGACTAATTGTTTGTCTAAAATGGATTGTTTGACTAATAGATTGTCTGATTAACTGTCTAAAATGGATTTTCTGACTAAAGGATTTTCTGACTAATTGTTTGTCTAAAATGGATTGTCTAACTAACGGATTGTCTGACTAATGGATTGTCTGACTAATGGATTGTTTGATTAATAAATTGCCAGACTAATGGATTGTCTGACTAATGGATTGCCTGATTAACATATTGTTTGACAATGGATAGGATGAATCATGAATTATCTGACTGATTGATGGTCTAAAATGGATTGTCTGACTAATGGATTGTTTGACTAATGGCTTTCGAAGGTCAAGTTGTATGCTCTAAAATTTGTTTTTTATTTAATACAAAAAAAAAGTTCCAAAGTGTCATTATGTCCACGTTCGCCACTCGCCACTCACCGCTATGAGACCATGGACGGATGACCAGAAGCCGTAATTGGGCAAAAGTTCTTTTCCTGTTTTGTTGTTGGTGTAGTTGAAAACGAGGCCGAAAATCAGGTAAACGAATAACATTGAAAAAAATCTGAGGACACAAAAATGAAGCACCGCTGAGACTAAACGTTTTCTCATTTCATAGAGATCTCAATCCTATTTTAAGCAATGTGGGGGGGGGGGGGGGGTGCGGGGAGAGGAGAGGAGAGATCAAATCTATAACTATGGTTCACCAAACTTTAGAATTGCACATCGTGATCTCAATGTTCAAACAATTTTAAAAAGACAAGGGCTTAATTGGGTGCAATTTTTTGTTTTACACCGGGTCCGGGTATTCTGAGAAAATACCCGGTGGGTCCAGTTGTAAAAAAAAAAAAGAGCTAACTACTCATTTAAGATACTTAAAAAAAAACAAAAACTTTAATTCCTAAACATAGGGATATTCTACTGTACTGGTATTTGCAATATTCGGTAATTCAGATTATGTATGTTCCTTTTTTTCTGTGACTTTAGTTTTAAATGATAATTTCATTACTTACATAATAACCATGATTGAACCAGTGGTCAGAGAACTGTCAGTGGGGAGAGGGTCAACTCGTTTACACTGGTTCGGACATGCGCAGTTGCTCCACATATTCATAGACTGCAAGAAAAATGCAATCAGCAGTTTAAAAATATCAAACATGATAATCAAGCTGGGCAGCCATCTTGGCCTTAATTTTAATTAAATGAAACTTAAGGCAGCCATCTTGGCCTTAGTCTTAAAGGAAAGAAACTTAATTTTTAAAGGTTATAAATAAAAGCATCTCTTGACTTTTTTTCCCCAAATGTTATTCTTAGCTCAGTAACCATTGGGCTAATATCTTGACATCGCTGCCACCTCCTTATGGATTATCCCGAGGGATCGACTGCTACGTTCGTGGTCATAGGAGCCAGAATGATCGTGGGCCCTCCAAAATATAGAAGAAGAACTATTCATGAAATCACATAACAACATTCATAAAATGTGATTCATTTTAATGGAATTGTTGCTATTTTCAACAACTGGACAACTACAAGATGAGAGGTCTTTGGGTCGTACCTTGTCATTTCAAACAAAAATACACCGTATCTTTGAAAAAAACTACCATATTTTAACATTCGTCTCCCAGAGGATTGTTCTCAAAAGTAAATTCAAAGTCTTGTCTAGAAAGTGCTTTCTTTTCTTTCAAATCAACAATAGCTCCCCACCACCACACCACCGCCCCCCACACACCGGGTTAAAAATTACTTTGACGCACTGACCACTGTCCCTGTGATGACCTCTCCAATGACGTCTAACTGTGGAACCTGACGAGTAGCGTCACACAGGAACATGACCTCAGTCTTTCTGTGGATAGAATTTTTTTTTAAAAAGTAACAGGTCAGTTAGTATGGTCAGCATGTGAAGCATGCTGGTACTGGACTAGAGGTAGGTCAAGGTCAAAGATTGTAGGAGTGCTAAATAGCTAAACAAGAAATTCGCCAGTTAATAACAAAGAGAGCACGGAGACTGAATTGAGAAATGCATTCAGTTGATTGAATACAGCGCTCTAATGTATGATGAAATGTGTTCAGATGTATGATGAAATGTATTCAAATGTATAATGAGCTGTATTCATATGTTTATAAATGTATTCAGATGTATGATGAAATGTATTCAGATGTATGATCAAATGTATTCAGATGTATGATGAAATGTATTCAGATGTATGATGAAATGTATTCAAATGTATAATGAGCTGTATTCATATGTTTATAAATGTATTCAGATGTATGATGAAATGTATTCAGATGTATGATCAAATGTATTCAGATGTATGATGAAATGTATTCAGATGTATGATGAAATGTATTCAGATGTATGATGAAATGTATTCAGATGTATGATCAAATGTATTCAGATGTATGATGAAATGTATTCAGATGTATGATGAAATGTATTCAGATGTATGATGAGCTGTATTCATATGTTTATAAATGTATTCAGATGTATGATGAAATGTATTCAGATGTATGATCAAATGTATTCAGATGTATGATGAAATGTATTCAAATGTATAATGAGCTGTATTCATATGTTTATAAATGTATTCAGATGTATGATGAAATGTATTCAGATGTATGATCAAATGTATTCAGATGTATGATGAAATGTATTCAGATGTATGATGAAATGTATTCAGATGTATGATGATGTATTCATATGTTTATAAATGTATTCAGATGTATGATGAAATGTATTCAGATGTATGATCAAATGTATTCAGATGTATGATGAAATGTATTCAGATGTATGATGAAATGTATTCAGATGTATGATGAGCTGTATTCATATGTTTATAAATGTATTCAGATGTATGATGAGCTGTATTCATATGTTTATAAATGTATTCAGATGTATGATCAAATGTATTCAGATGTATGATGAAATGTATTCAGATGTATGATGAGCTGTATTCATATGTTTATAAATGTATTCAGATGTATGATGAAATGTATTCATATGTATGATCAAATGTATTCAGATGTATGATGAAATGTATTCAGATGTATGATGAGCTGTATTCATATGTTTATAAATGTATTCAGATGTATGATGAAATGTATTCATATGTATGATCAAATGTATTCAGATGTATGATGAAATGTATTCAGATGTATGATGAGCTGTATTCATATGTTTATAAATGTATTCAGATGTATGATGAAATGTATTCATATGTATGATCAAATGTATTCAGATGTATGATGAAATGTATTCAGATGTATGATGAGCTGTATTCATATGTTTATAAATGTATTCAGATGTATGATGAAATGTATTCATATGTATGATCAAATGTATTCAGATGTATGATGAAATGTATTCAGATGTATGATGAAATGTATTCAGATGTATGATCAAATGTATTCAGATGTATGATGAAATGTATTCAGATGTATGATGAAATGTATTCAGATGTATGATGAAATGTATTCAGATGTATGATGAAATGTATTCAGATGTATGATGAGCTGTATTCATATGTTTATAAATGTATTCAGATGTATGATGAAATGTATTCATATGTTTATAAATGTATTCAGATGTATGATCAAATGTATTCAGATGTATGATGAAATGTATTCAGATGCATAATGAGCTGCATTCATATGTTTATAAATGTATTGAGGTGTATAATGAAATGTATTAAGGTGTATAAAGAAATGTATTCAGGTTAATAATGAGCTGCATTCATATGTTTATAAATGTATTGTGGTGTATAATGAAATGTATTCAGATGTATGATGAAATGTATTCAGATGCATAATGAGCTGCATTCATATGTTTATAAATGTATTGAGGTGTATAATGAACTGTATTATTAATTAAGATTAAATGTATTAATGTGTATAATGAGGTGTATTTAGGTGTTTGATGAATGAAACTGATCAGGGATACGAACTTGCCATCTGGTGTAGTGTACGTCACCAAGGGGTAGTAACCCGTGTATGACCAAATTGCCGTCGATTGCTCTCCCATTTCAATGTAATCATCGCCTGCCTTCTTACACGCCTGGGGGGGAGGGGGGAGGACAATAAGATGGCAATAAATCTATGCAACTTTTATAATCACGAAGAGACAGTTAAACATGAAACTCAGACAGGTGGAAATTATTATCTGTCGCCATTTCCTAATCAGAAAAACAAGGAACGTCGGTGTGAATGTGTATTTTAACTTAATCATAATTTGTTTTTTTCAACTGCATATATCAACATAATTAGATTTAATTAATAGTGTGCTAAATTTATCATGAAATTTGCCAGGCACTGAAACCCACCACAACACATAAAACCAATATAGAAACATAACCACACACCATATGTCATTCGCAAAGGAGCGAAACAAAGTATGGGAAAACCTGGGAGAAAAAAAGACGCAACAAGACAAAGAAGGTGTCGGCAAGAAGCCTTCATCAGCCAACAAACACAGTAAAAACAATCTAAAATTTAAAAAAAAACACTTAGCTGCAATGTAGTATCCGAGACGACAGCAAGAGGAATGTGACAGAAGATAAGTAGATGAGAGTTTAAATACATTTGAACACAACTGCACATTAAAAAAAAAAAAAATATGCTGGACCACAACACAGGTCTATTTTAAGCAGTAAAATGTGAGAAGTCCAGATTTCTCGAGCTCTACATACCGCAGCATCCTTACATGACCCAAGAGTTGCTGGAAAACATGGATTGTAAGCGTATGAACTACCGTCAAAGGAGGAAACCACGTCTGGAAATCTGTAGATGTTTAATTTAAATGTTGGATTTTTCGTTTGATTTAAAACGTTGATATGAGAGATACACACAGCACACAGAGTATGTTAATTTTATAAAGAATGTTCGTTTTACTATAGATTTAAATAGTAAAGAAATCTCGTTATAGATTAATGATCATGTAACTACACGTTTTCAGAAGAAGCTGACATGGAGCAATGAGTTTATGGGTGTGCTTGTCATCCTGCTAGTGTTGTCAAGAAGCTACAGCAAGACCTTGGACACTACGCTGAGAGCCGATGGCAACGAACTGACCACAAATGACAATAAGCTAACCACAGATGACAACAAACATAACCAGCGATGACAAAAAACCTGACCACATATGTCAATAAAGCTGGCAACAGATGACAAAAAACATGACACAGGTGACTACAAACATGACAAAAGATCACAATGAGCTGAGCGCTAATGACAATGAGCTGACCACAGATGACACTGAGCTGACCACAGATGACACTGAGCTGACCACAGATGACACTGAGCTGACCACAGATGACACTGAGCTGACCACAGATGACACTGAGCTGACCACAGATGACAAGCAAATGTGACTACGGAAGACTAACACACCTGGCAGTGCCGTCCTGGTTTCCCAAGCTGCTGATGTCCACCGTGCCTGACCCGTCATTGTATTTACACCGACACGGGCCGTCTCCCTCACATAATAAAGCCGAGACACGCCCCTGGTTTAGCAGGCAGCTGATAGTCACAAATGCCGTGATGAAGTCTCCAACAGCCCAAGCCATATTACTTCAAAACAAAAGGTACTACAACAGTTTCCTTCAGTTCCCTTGTTAATACTTTAAAAGCGTGTGTTATAGTGAGCTATTTGGCGCCTTCAGAAATAACATCTTGCCATAATTTCTACCAAAGTTCCTTGTTTGTTTCATTTCGGGAAAAGCACAAACTCTAACATTTCAATTATCGATCACAAAAATGTAATCCGTCAAAAAATGATGCACTTTTCAGTGTTAACACTTTTAACGAAAGATAACTTCAGCTGATAACTCTACATGACGTTAGGCAGCGGTTCATAGATTATATAGTTGGTATTTGGAAAACAATTTTAACAAAATACGTTGGTTATTTTGTGTAATATATATATTCTAAGATTGTGAGAGTTTTGAAGAAAAAAACTACTACCAGGACGTCACAGATCTATTCAGCCTTCCAACTCGACCACGAGATTGTTGTACGTAAAATTCTCCGACTTAAGTATTGGGAGACCCCTGTCCCTGAGCATCTGATTAACTTTGCATAATCTTCGGCTATCAGACCACGTGACTCCGCATGCTAATGAAGCCGCGGGTGTGCAGTGATCCTGATTTCGATTACACAGCCAGAAAGCAAAGAACGACGACGCATTTTCGTGTTAAGCACACCGACTCATTAACACGGCCAGTAGAGCTAAAGAGTAATCACATGGGAGAGAATGCATGAACTTACTAAAACGAGGACAAAATGAAGTTATCTGCTCTTTGAAACTTAAATGCCGTCATGGCGTATTCACATCAAATCTAGTTCACCACTGGGACATTACATGTAAGACAATATCCCCTGATATCACCTCATGCTGTAAGTATCGTTTTAGTGTGCAAGATCTTCAGTGGCGCATCTTGAATAAGCGCCGCCACGGGTGAGCCTCTCCACAATTTGTACACCAGTAGCGACTCCCCCCCTAACATACAATTGGTGCATATCATTTACATAATATTATGTAAAATAGCACTAACCCTTAAATTGTTGCTCGCGATGTTCACCTGCTTTCTTAGAGATTCACCACCCATAGGTGAAGTTTGACTTAGACATTCAATGAAAATAGATTATTGTATTGGTATCTTTTGGTACGGATCTCAGATATCACAGACAAGCATTGCTTATCTTTTGGTACGGATCTCAGATATCACAGACACGCATTGCTTATCTTTTGGTACGGATCTCAGATATCACAGACAAGCATTGCTTATCTTTTGGTACGGATCTCAGATATCACAGACACGCATTGCTTATCTTTTGGTATGGATCTCAGATATCACAGACACGCATTGTTTATCATTTGGCGGTGATCTCAGATATCACAGACACGCATTGTGTATCTTTTGGTACGGATCTCAGATATCACACACGCATTGTGTATCTTTTGGTACGGATCTCAGATATCACACACGCATTGTTTATCTTTTGGTACGGATCTCAGATATCACAGACAAGCATTGCTTATCTTTTGGTACGGATCTCAGATATCACAGACAAGCATTGCTTATCTTTTGGTACGGATCTCAGATATCACAGACAAGCATTGCTTATCTTTTGGTATGGATCTCAGATAGCACAGACACGCATGGTTTATCATTTGGCGGTGATCTCAGATATCACAGACACGCATTGTGTATCTTTTGGAATGGATCTCAGATATCACAGACACGCATTGCTTATAATCTTTTGGCGGTGATCTCAGAAAGCACACACGCCTTGCTTATCTTCTTCTTCTTCTTCTATTTGAGGGGCCCACGATCAATTTGTTGATCATTCTGGCTCCTGGTTTAAATTCAGAGTTTGCCTTCTCTTTCATAAATATTCGCTATTTAAAAAAAAAAATAAATATGATTTTTTTTTTCAATTTCAGGAGAATGAGATCACTCTTATTAAGATTAAATCTGCTGTCTTCAAATTAATTCTATTCAGACACTATATAAATTCTCCAAGCCCGTGTAAAGAAGAATGTTAGACACAAAAAAGACTATCTGCAAGCATTTTGCTGCCATTTGAAAATGTGCGATTTTTTAATGCTCCTTTTATGTAAATAACAGACTGGTATGGATAAATCTGTTGTGAGGATGTTTATGAGATAGAGGAGAGGCTTACCCCCCCCCCCCAAATGATACTGAGTGGAAGCCAAATTTTAAGAATGGGTACCAAGACTTTGGACTTCAACTTTGCGCAGAGTAATCAAAAAGAATAGTGTAGACATAGTCAATTACGTTCAATCTAAGATACTTTTTTTTTTTAAAAAGGCGTTGTCATGTAACAAACAAAAAATGCCATCCCTTTACCAAGCCCACCCATCTTATGAACTATTGAACTAATCAGCTCGTCATTGAATTAATTTGAGTGAAACGTTTCATTTGTATTCAAATTCAATACTTTGTTTCATGTTACTACTTTAACATTTCATTGTGTATAATCTTCTATGAGGGTCAATGATATCAAGGGAAATCAATTTCAAAACTAACATACGTTGGCTGTAATTTATGATAATTTATCATTTTATTTTTGTCTAAAGAAAAACAACAAAACCAGAAAAACCTGATAAAAGTGCTCATTGTGAGAAATGCATACCCCCCCCCCATTATTGCAATTAGACTTGGAAATCTGGAATTAAAAACAGTTGAATCGCAACTCTGTAGATACCCACACGACTTTAACGTCATTAGGGCCTCAAAAAAATAGCTTAATTTATCATTTTATTTTTGTCTAAAGAAAAACAACAAAAACAGAAAACCCTGATAAAAGTGCTCATTGTGAGAAATGCATACCCCCCCCCCCATTATTGCAATTAGACTTGGAAATCTGGAATTAAAAACAGTTGAATCGCAACTCTGTAGATACCCACACGACTTTAACGTCATTAGGGCCTCAAAAAAATAGCCGTCAACATTTTGTCCAAGATTTTATGGGAGAATCAACTAGTATTTTATTGTTTCGTTGCTACAGCTTTTTGTTTTCTGGATTTTGCTATTGGTCCAAAGACACATCGTACTGAGGTTAGCATTAGTTGTTTTTTTTCCCCAGCTTCATTAACAGTAAAAATTTTAAAAAATCACTAAAGCTTTGAAAAAAATAGTACAGAAAAACTTGATGTTGCGATCAACCCAAGCAATGCTGTTACACCATGCACCAATTAAACCTGGCAAACAGACATTTACCAACACGGGACTCATGGAAACAAGACTCATTGCACAAGACTCATGTAACAAAGAACACAAAAAAGTGTACCTTTATAATGTGTTTTATTTTGAAATTCTGTACAACAGTCCTCCAGTGACAAAAGCTGCGGGCCTATGCCCACGGTAGTCATGGTAACCAGTGGTAGCAGACGTCAGCGGCTTATCATTTTGGACCATGTACCAACAGAGAGTTGTAGGGAATCAAGAAACAAACGATTCATTCACCACATCTGAATACATCGCAAACTAAACTATGAAACAAAAGCCAGGGTTGCCTTTAGGCAATGTGTAAACACTGCAAGTTGATTTGCATCCTGCGTGCCCCCTTGTATGCGATGGTTTGACTTAGAATGCAATTTGATGGCTGGAAGTTAAAGTCTATGTATGTAATTGACAAACTGTTCAAAACAACGTCATTTCTCATTGTCGTCATTTCTCATCGTCACAAATTTATAAACTTCAAATTATTTTCATTTTACTTAGGAGAAATGCAAAGAAAAATTTCTAATCTCCCAAAATAAAACAATAGGAAATATTTACTCTCCCTTGTTACCTTTTCAGTTATGGCCCTTTAATTTTTACATGCATGTTTTCCCCTACGCTAACAGGCCAATTAAATCCTTATTCTAAGACTCTCGCCTGTTTCCTAAAATTATGTTACATTGTAAAGAAACAACATGTGCTGTTCAAAATCAAAACATGTAAAAAAATATATGTGATGCATGCAGCAGAAGAAGTGACAAGGCTTTCTATTAAAAAACCTGTGACCAAAAAAAAAGAACATCTCCTAGTAAACAGCTAAGGCAACTATTTGTTCAAACAAAGATAACTAAATATTTTGACATGAGAACCACTGGCAAGGCACCTAAAACAAAGCATTTGGATATCCTTAAGACAATGCACTGAACACTTTTCACCCATGACAGTGCAAGTACTCACAGAGTCAACAACTCAAACTGTTTCTGGTCACAGACCCTCATTTCAAATAACTTGACAAAACCTTGTCAAATTTGGATCAAGTCTCTGAACAAATAATTTACAAAATTGGTTTAGAAGTTGTCTTTTTTTTAAAAAAGGTTTAAAGGCTATTTTTAAAAAAAGATTTGCAATTACACCAAAGGTTTAAAGGCTATTTTTAAAAAAAGATTTGCAATTACACCAAAGGTTTAAAGGCTATTTTTAAAAAAAGATTTGCAATTACACCAAAGGTTTAAAGGCTATTTTTAAAAAAAGATTTGCAATTACACCAAAGGTTTAAAGGCTATTTTTAAAAAAAGATTTGCAATTACACCAAAGGTTTAAAGGCTATTTTTTTTTTTATATTTGTAAATACACCACTGGTTTAGCGGCTATCTTTTTAAGAGATTTGTAATTACAACATTGGTTTAGAAGCTATTTTAAAAAAAAATATGTGTAACTACACCATTGATTTAGAGGCTGAGTCTTTTTTAAAAATTGATAATTTTGCACTATGTAGAGCATTCATAAAAAATATCAATATTCCCCCCCCCCCTTTTTCCATTAACCTGAAAGCCATAAAATTGTTTATTGAAGATGCACGTATTACAAAATCAATGAATTCATCAGAAATTTGGCCACAAGAGACAAAGAGTGCTACTTGGTGCTACATGGCAATAATCAGAGAACCAGCTCAATAATAACCAAATGCAACATCATATACAAAATTAAAAATTCAAAAATAGAACCAAGGCTTATCAGAGTTATCTTACAGGTCACTGCAGACATTGCTGCATAAATTTGTTATGAAAAATAGACACTATGTAGAGTGTAGATGTTGAGGGGTAAGGGGAGACAAGTCATTTCAGAGTAACAAGTGCTTTGCATGGTGTAATCATACAGAAGGGTGTCGGAAACAACAATTACTTCCTATTGCAAAGAAGAAAATCATTCTCAAATTCAAAAAATTTTTCCCAGAAGATATTTAAAAAAAAATTATTTTAATCTAAAAATTATTTACAACAAAAGCTCAAGACCCTGCCTAACTCCCAAGATTTACATAAAAAAAACCCATGACCTGGCCGTGCTACACGGCAGACCACAAGTGACCACTAATTTAAATCAAGCAGTGT